TATGTTTACTTGTGAATATTGTTGAATGAGTATTCTGATATGTTTCAGTTGTACTCAAGACCTGTTGACAAAGTGTCGACTTAAACTCTACAGCCACTCCTGTATTTCAACCACCACCTACAAAATATGTTTTAGGCTACAGTCGCTACTGTACAAGGGCTTGCTTCATTTTACGGAATGCTATATATTATTTCTGATGAGAGCAACCGCAATGTTTCCTCATCAAAAATAGTGAAAATTCGTTTCAAAAGTGTGACGAAATTCTTCAGCTGTTTCCAAGAAGTTAACACAACCATTCCTGGAATGCTTAAAAAATGGTTTCCCTACTGTTCAGAAAAATATTCAAATAGTATAAATTCGTATTCGTATTCGATTTGTTTTTGTCGCTATTATATTAATACTGTATTGGAATTTAAGGTTTACTGTTCACACATCTCTACCAATTACATATTCGTAAGGCATTGCATGCATTTACTCACATAGACGGGCGCACGGGGCGGTGGTGGTAAGGGAAGGGAGAACGCTCCTCCAATTCACCTAAAAGAAGAGGCTGCGAAAATGTGCCTCATACATGAATTTAATAGAAACGGGGGAGAGGTGTACTAAGATGAACGTTCTCCTCTCGTTCCTGACGATAAACCCTGCTCCCGCATAAGTTTACTCACCTCCACACTTGATAAACGCGAAGCATTTTTTCGCGTACTGCAAGCATTTCTGGCATCTATCTATCTATCTATCTATCTATCTATCTATCTATCTATCTATCTATCTATCTATCTATCTATCTATCTATCTATCTATCTATCTATCTATCTATCTATCTATCTATCTATCTATCTATCTATCTATCTATCTATCTATCTATCTATCTATCTATCTATCTATCTACCTATCTATCTATCTATCTATCTATCTATCTATCTATCTATCCTACGTCTAGGTGCTCTCGTGATCACCGCTTTACGTTGAGGTAAACCAAAATTAGTATGGAAGGTTAAGATGGCTGGAGGAATACGACTCGCTGGTCATGACATAAATAATGTCACAATCCTGTCACGTACGTCTACCAACACTCTCCGCCAGGCAGCGGCACATACCCATGGGCGGTTATGTGCCACTGGTATGCGGGCATGTGCCACAGGTAACTGATACTTCATATCCACCCAGGAATGGCGAGAACAAACATGGGTAATTTCAACGCGTAAGCGTTAAAGAAAAAGCTGACATCGGCTGCCTTGATCCTTCGAATGAGAAGAAGAAATGTCAGGATTTCAGAAGGAACCCAGAAATCAGAACCCAGTATTCTGCTTTGCAATCCACATTTCTACCGCAGAGCCACGCCAGGTCTCACAACTGCTTTTCAAATAGACCGTAATGTTTGTGAACCGTCAATTGGAGATGCAGTGCTGGCAGCCCAATTTTAACGCGACAGCGTTAAGGAGCTCAATTCGAAGAAATTCCGGCGTTGATGTCAGCGTCGGCGGTCGTGAGCGAAAAATCATGTCATGCGTGACCAAAAAATCGAGAACTATGGAAATAAAATATATAAATTATAAAATATCCTGACACAGAGTGCGAACCAAACCAGGGTTTTTTTTTTGGGCTCAAGTGCAGATAAAACCTGAGTCATTTCCGATGCAAGCAGATGTTCATCCACACGGTCACACCTCTACTTGTGAAAACGGTGAAAAGAACTCCCTCTGCTTTTAATCGCAGTGAAAGTAGCTTCAATGTTTCAAAAACACGCGCGTCCATAATACATGCTCCACAGTGCAACATGAAATATATTTGTAATAATGCATGGCACATGCATCCATTTCTAACTGGCGTCAGAATATGTCATTATCATAATGACTCCGTGGTTGAAAGCCGGTACCCCACTATAAAAGGCTGCGCCAATTCCCTTTTAAGGCCACGTCATGGGTGCACAGCGAATGGAAAGGTTTCATGCACCAAGAACATATTTGAAGTACGCGCTAGGAACAGGATGTTGGAACTCCGTTCAACTCTTAGAGGCGAAGCTCCAGGGTCCCTAGTTTTATAAAGTGTACGTAAAGATACAGCGGTCACATCGGGTTAATATAAACTGTATTGAATTGCAATTCACTGAAGATAGTTGACAGTTCATGTCAGCCAAGAAACGGCGCGAACAGTCATCAGTAATTTTAATTAGAGACTGTTGAGAAAAATCAGTGCATCTCCACGAGAAGTGATCAGTGACGAGTGGGCGAAGTGATAGGTCCCGAGTCCATAATGTCTACGTTGAAGCCACCGACTAGTGTACAGGACGGACTTCTTGCATGATCCGGTGGGCACGTCATAAGCTCAACAGAGACTTTTAGAGGCGAAGCTCCTCAGGGCGTGGCTTGTGCGTCCCCCGTTGTCGTAGTGCCTAACCTGTGGCGCATACCCGCATACCAGTGGCACGCCCCACCCTCGGGCACATATCCGCATGTCCACGTGTCGCGAAAAACGTAGCATGGCATCGTTATCACGCTCTCGGTGTTTGCAAAGCGCTGGCAGCACAAATGTGGTGCATACTCTCATTTAGTCCTTGAAGTGTCCACTGGATGGCGGTACTTGTATATGATGAATAGATGCTAAAAAATGGTGCCGTATCTGCATGTTAATCGGCAAATGTCGTCAAAAGACGATAGTTTTGCGCCTGGAGAGATTGAACAAAACATTTATTTGGTGTTCTGCGCAAGAAATTCGGTGAATGGAATTCTGGAGGCGCTGTGTTGGAGTGCCTCGAGCGTGCAGCGGAGGCGAACGAGCGCACCAAGTCACGTCAAACGTGAGACGTGAGCGCTATCTGGCAGTTTTCTTGGAAATTGAAGTACGCGGCTGTGAGACGGGCATGCGCGCCCGTCTCTGAGGTCATAAGGTGTAGAACGCAAGGCGAATTGTAGGTGCCACCACTATGTTGTCTTAGCAAAGAGTTGGAAACACATCCCTTTTTGTGCAAACGTTGCATGGTCAGCGCCGCTACGCTACGATCCTTAGAACGATAGTAGTAGTAGTAAAGAACGAGATAAACGCTACGATCCTTAGAATAACTTGTGTACGCCTTTTCTTGTAAAAGACGCACGTACAGAATATGTACGTCTTGTTATGGTGCCTCAGAAAGGCGCGATAATTGCTTTTTTATTTGACAATCACACAAGTATGAACGCTGAATTTTGAGCAACATTGGCGGGCACTGCGGATGTGTCGGCCGTTTGGAGAATCATCTGGGGCCGTTTAAAGTGCCCGGTACTATTAAGTGTACACAGACATTTCTGCTCCTCGCGGGACGGCCTTACACGCTCTCCCATAGTAGGGTACCTAGTACTCAAAATCGTTACACCAACTTTTACCTAAACACAGACAGACAGACGAAAATACTTGCGTCGAATGTCCACAAGAAACATTAAAAGAAGCGAGATGGTGGTACTTAAAGTGTTCACTAGGTGGACGCGTGGACGGACGGACGCACGAACGGACGCAAGAACGGGCGCACGTATGTATAGATGGATGCACGGACGGAAGCAAACACGGATTGACGGACGCTTCGCCTCAGTCATCTTTATTTATTCCAAGGATATGATGGAATTTTTTTATTGAACAAAGTGTTCATATATATTACAAAGTGCTTTTTTGTTTGTTTTTTTTTTTGGCTCAAATACACTAAGCAATATCACGCAGGAAACTGATGGCCCCGTTTCTGCGAACGGTATTAGCAGCACAGGATAGCGCTCTTTACACTGAAGCTTTAAGTGTACAAGGGAGTAGCTTGGGAGAGTAATTCAGGGGAGTAACTTTCAGAGGAGTAATTTTAATTGGGCCGACGGACACCAATCTCCCGAGAGCCGCCAGCGCAGCTAGCTCGAAAAGTCGGCCAGAGAATACAATAGATCGTGGGAGGCCAACACCGGAAAAATGAATATCAGGCCACTTTTACGCGTGCAAGGACATTTCGGTATCTTCCGACTGCACGCCGCCAATTTCTCACTGCCCTCAGGCCAAAAAAATAACTAACCGCATGCAGTGAGTTCAAATAATATCCCTGTCTCTGCGAATACGTATTATCCCAAGAAAAAAGTTATTCGCATGTCTGCTTAAACACAGCTATAGAGATGACCACTGAAAAGTTTTACAAAAAGGCGATAGCAGCCTGTCCAGAATGAAGCCACCACACAGCAGCCATGAGAGCGATGAACTTGGTGTCATTCTCACGCTGGCGCTCACAAACAGGGCGTTTTCAGGGATCCGCAACGGCCTTAGACTCTCTCTCAGAGTTGACCTCACGGAAATCCCGAAGTCGAGTGCATGATTGTTTTACCGAGAGAAAACAAAAGTGCACTGAGAAATGTGATTTAATTTTTGCGACCCATCTGGGTATTTGCATAGAAAAATAATAATTTGAGGAACGATGTCTGGGGTGTTGTGATGCTGCCTAATTGGCAACACCCTCGCATAGGTGCTGAGTATGGCAGAGATAGCACACACGAAGGCACAGGTGCTACCTGGTCCATTTGACGAACGATGGTTGTATTGTCGTGATGTCGCCATGTCACCAACACACTGGCCCAGTTGTTGATTGGTAGAGCACGGTACAGTTGTTAGTTGATATCATTTAAATGACGAGGTGACGCAGTCCGTCATGTCGTTAGCATACGTGTACGATGTGAGTACTGGAAGAAATTTGGTCTTCACGCTTTCCTTCCTAGAAAGATGTGAACTCGCCAATGGGTTGGATCTACGAACAAGACCTGGAGCACGTTAGGGATGAGCAGGTGACGCAGCATACCGGGCTATTTGTGTGGCCGTGTGATCTAAGAAATCGAAACATTTGTCATCACGCTTCCCTTGGTCGAACGAGGCGAACGGGCCGATGGCTCGGCTCGACAAACCAGGAAGTCGCGTCGACTCGGTCCTTCTCGTCGAACAGGCGGCGACTCGTGTTTAACGCTGGTGACGGCGCATTTGGTCGCGTCGCAAGCGCTGGACTGTCTCGCGAGGAAGCTCGTCTTCCAGGAGTTCTTGCACCAGGTCGATCCGACAGAGGAAGTAGTGCCACACGAGGAGCCATCCTTCGACAATGAGGAGAAGCAGTAGCACGTATATGCCGCCCGCGACGAGGCAGATGGACAGAGATTCCAGCATCCTGAATCACTGTGCCCGGTTGGACATGGCCCCCGCGGAAACGGCACCAGCTACTGCCGCTGGCTCTGCGGGCGCACCAGACCACTATAGTTTTTCTACACATTGACCATTACCCACTGCTGTAGATTGGTTGCTGTCATCATCTTCGTTGTTGTTTTTTTATTTTTAAATGAAATAATATGGGAAGCTCAAGCTGCGTTGGAGCCGACTATCTTCTTTTCAATGCAACAAAGACTTGCTCTTAAAGCGTAATATTTTTTGTTAAATGTGTGCTGCTACGCTGGTGTTGTGTATGAAGTGAAGTAGTGTCTCGTGGAATCTGTTTTCATGTATCCAGTGGTTGTAACAGCTTGTGTCGCTGTAGCTAAGGCCGGCTTCAAGGAGGTGACGGGAGTGTTCCGGCTGCAACCCTTTACATGTGAGCCGGCTATCCAAACATCACGGTAGTTTACAAATTACACACCGATAAGAATTAGATTAAACGTAATATATAAAAAAGAGATAAAATCAGAGGCATTGGTTGATTGGTATGTCGGGTGTAACGTCCCGAAACCACGATATGATTATGAGAGATGCCGTAGGGGAAGGCTCCGGAAATTTCGACCACCTGGGGTGCTTTAACGTGCACACAAGTTTGAGCACACGGGCCTACAGCATTTCTGCCTCCATCGAAAATGCTGCCGCAGCAGCCGTGATTAGATCTGGTGGCTTTCGGGTCAGCAGACGGGTACCTTAGCCACTAGGCGACCCCGGCGGGGCGATAATATCGGAAGCACTGTCGGCATATATACAATATGGGGCGCATACAGCGTGATCAGATAGTGGCTAGAATTAGTACATATAATCTTATACACTTACATGCATGTTATCTATGAGATATGCTATTTAATGCCTCGACACCATGGAAGCGTTCTTGTTGTTGCTAAATAACCGTGACTCACACCCAGAGCAGAACATTGGTGAGCAGTAGGTCGATTGCTTCTGCAAAGTTCAAGGGGTAACACTCTCACGTGCTACAGAAAATGATATATCGATTTTCAAATTATAAGCAATGAACAATAAGTGTTTCAGTGGTAAATAAAATATCCCTGTGGCGCTGTATCCCAGAGTATATGTATAGTGGCCCCAAACGAAAAAATCTGGGGCCAGCTTTGCTACTGGCTGCTCCTGGATCATTCCTGTACAACGACGCATTTGTGCGATGACGCGTAGCCCCTGCTGACGATCACACCGGAATTTGTTTGTTCCCGATGCCCTCCCTGACAGACGTATTTCCTCAAAGTGGTTTAGCCACTTTCCACTTTACAAAAATGGCCGTAAGCGATTATTAGAAGTATAACTAAGCGGTAAATTTAGAAAAAGATGGAGGCTTGGAGCCGTAGTTCACCGCTTCGGCAAGACTCGTAATCACATCGCCGTGTTCGCAAGCAATCGACACTGCAGAATTTCCCAGTGTCTTTTATTTTCGTATTGCATGTGCGACGCGCTGTTTAATGTAAATCAAGACCCACTTTATATCTACCTTTTTTTTTGCCTCAGATATAAAATTAGTGGTTCAGTTCTCCAAAGGCGGAAGCCGACAAAAAAAAGAAAAGAGAACCCTTTGTGTTGCGACTGGCATGATACTTTTCTCTGACACCATTTTTGAGCACGAACTTTAACTGTTCCTTTTTTTCTTGAACGTGGTCATGTGTGTGTGTATCACTCGTAATCCCGAAAAGGGCAACAATCACAAAAAAATCTCAGCATATTCATGGAGTGAATGATGATGAGTGGGGCAAAGCGTCCGTTATCCCATCCGTGCTTCCGTCCATTCGTTCGTTCTTGCTTCCATCCCTGTGTGACCATCCGCGCGTCCATTCATGCGTCCGTCCGTCTGCCCATCAGTCCATGTGTCCATGAGTCCGTTCATTTATCTCTCTCTCTATTCGTTCGTGCGTCCATCAGTCCGTACGTCCACGCGTCTATTTGTCAGTGCGTCCATCTGCTAGTGTGTCTGTCTGTCGGTCCGTGCGTCCATCTAGTGAACACTTCAAGTACCGCCATCTCCCATCTCGCATCCCCTGTGGCACATGCCCGCTCTAGAGCGGGTATGTGTCACAGGTGGCTACCTACTACTACATGTGTACAATGGATGGACAGATCCACGCCCTAAGGAGCTTCGCTCCTAAAAAATATGGCAAAGCTGTTGAAACTAGTGAGTGTGACATAACACGGCAATAACAGCGGAAGCTCTTCGGTGAATGCGAAAGAATAGCAGTTATGTTCTGTCGATGCCGACGGGGGGGGGGGGGGGGGGGGGGGGGTAAAGAACACCAGGTAGTGGAAACTTATGGGGATCTTTACTAAGGCACCCGCCCTGATCATGTCGTAATTATCAAATGTAATCAAATCCAATTTATTTGCAATCTGTCAATACAGACGAAGTTATGAAGCTTAAAACACCAAGCATTATTATTACCAGTAATAGCAAATCATTTTGCGAACAAGTTACAATTACTAATCCCTAAACAGAGCAGCGCAACTTTCACTCACGGCCCCTTCCACCAGCGAATGACACAGTTCCCTTCTTGCAGCAAGAAATTTAGTCTTAGAGAACTAGCATTTTAACATCAACATTTTCTTTATTCATTGCGAACCGAATGAGAAGTACTTCGGGATATAACATTGAAACAAACCGAGGGTTCAAAAAAAATCCTGGCTTAAGCGAACAAGTGGTTCCTGGGAGAGAAGCACCAACACGCGTTGCCGATATCGACTTGGCATAATGGAGTGGTTCTTTCGCGTGTCACCGTGACATAAAACAATGGAGCTCTTCCTTTTCTACCCTGTAAGTGTGCTCGTCCGTGCGAATGTCAATAAACGTACGCCGGCAGCACGGAGGCGGGTAAAGTGGACGCGAACGGCTTTAGGTTTGCAACGCGTTGCGACGACGATTTCGTGCAAGGGGGAAGGAAAACTCGATAGCGTGTCAATGCCTGTGAAGTAAGTAGCGGGAACTCACGATGAGCATTCGACACGTGCTACTCCGCCACGGTGCATCAGCGGCTATGGTGCTCGTCTAGGTCGCCACGGCTAGTATTGAACCACCACGGCTGGTTCATACAGCCGTAGGTGGTTGCATATTGACGGGGGCGAAATGGTATAGGGGCCCGTGTACTATGCGATGTCAGTACGCGTTGAAGATCCCCAGATTGTTATTATTATTATTATTATTATTATTATTATTATTATTATTATTATTATTATTATTATTATTATTATTATTATTATTATTATTATTATTATTATTATTATTATTATTATTATTATTATTATTATTATTATTATTATTATTATTATTATTATTATTACTTATTGTTGGACCAGAGAATACGCAGAGGAAACACCGCGCCACCTCGATCTCCCACATGGTAGAAAATTTCCCGGGCCCTGCAGTTCGGCGTCTCTCATAATCATATTGTGGTTTTGAAATGCAAAATTCAAATAATAATAATAATAATAATAATAATAATAATAATAATAATAATATGTTGTTGTTGTTGTTGTTGTTGTTGTTCTTTTTGGTGTTTTACGTCCAAAAAAGAAAGATATGATTGTCAGAGACGTTGTAGTGCAGGGTTCCCGAAATTTTTGACAGTCTGGTGTTCTTTAACGTGCATTGAGATCGCGCAGTACACAAACCTCTATTATTTCGCTTTCACCGAAATGCGACCGCCACGGCCGGGGGTCGAACCCGCTACCTTTGGTTCAGCAGCCGAGCACAGTAGCCACCGTTCCACTGTGGCAGATTAGAGTTTAGACTTGGTAACCGAGGCGTAGTGAAGAGCAAAGGGACCTATAGGACACATTCATAATTTGTGCCATAGTTGAAAAGCGCTGAAGGAAGTCACACGCGAGGCAGAACTCGAAAAGAGACTATAAATTGATCTTGAACGCCTTGATCTTGATCTTGAATGTCATCGCCACCCTACTCCATCATCATCGCCTTAATTTCTCTTACGTTTTCACTCCTTCCTTTTTTCTGTGCCTAACCTAATCTAACCTAACCTGGCCTCACAATAGATTTAGGCCGACCACTCAGCTCTCCTGCTACAATAAACACATCTCTTGATTTTGCGCCGAAAGAGAACAAAGAAGTAGTTTGGTATAGGTTTCTTAAGCCTTTATGGAGTGGCTATAATAGAAGCGAGAAAATTGCAATGTCGGCTACTGGCGACAACGATTACGACGCGTGGATTCTGATTTTAGAAAGTTGTGCGTAGTTCTATGTACACTGCGCTTGGAAGAACGTCACTATTTTTCCTATTAGACTGAAACGTATGGCTTCAAAGTGAGGTGGTAAGTCAAAATTCGAAGCTATCTTGACTCGTCCAAACCACAGCTAACCGTCGCCATCGAGAAGAACCTCAATAGAAGGTAAGCGGCTCTTTACGACCTATGGCCAAGCTATATATATACACAGATTTCAGTTATAGTGCAAAGGCACTTCGCGACTTAGGCAAAGTATCCCCGTGGAGTGGATCGCACAAGTCAAAATATATATCAACGTAAGCCGCTTTATTTTCTACTGCCAAATTTGTCTGTGCGTTAGAATTAAAGCCTATAAGTTTCCGCCGTATTTAATTGTAGATTGGAATAACCCAAGTATTTGGCTCGTGTGGCAACAAAAGCTGTTAGACAGCAGCCTTATATTTTGTGTTGTCGAACGAGGTAAATTAAGCTAAACCACGTGGGCTAAACTTACTGAGATAGCGTTGGTTCTATATTAGCAAAACTAGTGTTGATGTCAGTGATATGGAGATACCGATGACATAATGATACCAAAGTGCAGCAACACCGCATGCTAGGTGATTGTGTAATAATATAAGTACTAACGGAAGCTTTTACCTAGCACAAGGTAGCATATGCGAACGCCAACAACGTCCACAGCGACGCGCTCGACCAATGTAGAGAAGTGCGGTTTATTCGCTACGTGATTTGTGCAGATGGCTTCAATG